AAGTCCCGGGCCAGCTGCTCGCTTCTTCTTCTCCAGCTTCTCGATCCTCGGCTGCAGGCTCTTGCAGGTCTGCCACAGCGCCGTCATCCGCTGGTAGTCCAGCGTCATGAGCTCCCGGTCGTCGAAGTTCCTGAGCTTGCAAAAGCTCTTGCCCAGCGCGCCGGACGGTTCCACCTCCTGCGCCACGACTGGTTGGCGGCACCGTCGACCCCTGGCCTCCACGCCGTCGAAGAGCTCCTGCGCCTCGTCCTCCGAAATCGGCCGGACGTTCGTCTTGAGCCTCTCGTCCGAGAGGTTTTGGAAGCCGTAAAAGCAAATCACCTCGCCGTTGTAGGATCCTCCCGTGTTCGGCTCGATGACCAAATTTGCCGTGCCCGAGGTGGTGTTCAGGGCGATGGTCTGGTCCGAGGCGTTGAGCTGCGCGCGTCGAGCGGCCCAAGGTCGTTGGTCCTCAGGAAGCGGCCGTCCGCTTCGTCCTTTGTCCACGAGTTACAACGGAGCCGCAGCGTCCCCAGAATGGCGTCGCCGACCAGGGGAGCAGGTTCGTAGGAAGGAGGTGTCAGTCGAGCAGCGCTATGTTGATCTCGTTGATGATCGGGGCCTGGAGCTCCGTCCAGCGCACGTAGACGCCGACGAGGCCCGCGATGGCGTCCGCTATTTCCTGGTCCGTCTCGGCCGAGGTGTAGTAGGCCGAGAGGTCCGTGCCGGAAGACACGGCGTCGGCGATGGCTTGATCCGTCTCCGCTCGGGTGTAGAAATCGAGAAGAGCTGTTATGATTTTCGAATCCACGGTCCCACTGAGATCATAGCTCGTCAGCGCGGAGCTGATGCTGGAGCTCACGGAGCTGTTCGTCGCGTAGTTGCTGAGCTCTCCCGCCACGTAGCTGGACACCTCGCCCTGCTCTGAGTAGGGCACCAGCTCGCCGGCGATGAGCGCCAGCACCTGGGCCTTTGTGCGGTACTGGGACAGGTTCAGCGCGTCGAGGGCCGCCGTGGCCCCGGTTTCGAGCTGCGTGTAGGTCTCGGATCGGGCGTAGCTGTCCGATTCGATGAGGATGGTGTCATCCAGATTCTGGAAGGTGGCCGTCAGGGCGCCCGCCACGGACAAGTTCCGGAGCACGTTGGTTCCCCGGAGCAGGTTGAACGTGGGCCCGCCGTTCCAGGACTGGTGTTGCTCAATTTCACGGGCACCAAGCCAGCCGTGATGGCCGCCTGGACCTGGGGTATGGTCCAGTAGGGGCTCAGATCAATCGTGGCGAGCTGTCGGTCTGCGCCCTGGTGTCGTAGGCTGCGAGGGCCGCCGCAATCGCCGCGTCTCTTTGAGCCGTCCCGTAGGGCACCAGCGCATCGGCGATGGCCTGGTTCATTGCAGCGGTCGTGCTGTAATCCAGCAAGGACGTGTCCGTATAATCTTTGCACTCCGTGATGCCCGCCACCAAATTCGCCGTGGCCTCCGCCCGTGTGAAGTAGTTGGCCAGCGCTGCCGTAATGGCGTCGTCGGTCCCCTGGATCGTATAGTAGCCGCCGAGGCCTCGCTGGCCTTCGGGAGCAGCAGGGC